TGGGGCAAAGAGATTTTATTACGATGTGAATGGTTAAGCAGGTAAGAGGCCCTCCCTTGGAGCTCCAATAAAGAGGAAATGTGTGAGCCCTGCATTCTGCCTCTCCAAGGAGCTCTAACTCCCAGTCAAGATGAAAATGTCTTGGAGAAAAGACCCAGATAATACCGTTCCAGAGGAAGTTTTATGTAGTAAGTGGCCTGATGAGCCAAGTGAGTCTTCAGAAAAGCTGGGTTAGACCTTTGTGTTGTGATCCCAATCCTTTGTGCTTTTGGTTATCCTAAAGGACATTGGGACATTCTCAAGAGATTCTTAAGTCAGAGGGTATAGTGGCAGCATTAATCTGGAGAAACAATGAAGCTAGCTAGAGTCATCACCTGCCAGCCCAGGATCTTGTAGAATCACTGGGGTTTCAGAAGAGAAAGTGATATGAGTCTAATGCTCTTAGTTCAAAGGAAGAAAGACAAATTGGTTGCATGTAGTGGGTTAGAGGAAAGGAGGAGTCCAAGTAAGTCAGTGAGAAGTCCGCTCAAATGTACTAGACTGTTTTGCATGAAGTGGGTTTTTCTTTTTGCTTCTCCAAACCCTTTCATGGATCCACTAAATGAACACTTACAGGCAGTCAGTAATATCAGGAGAAATATAGCCATTTTGATACTAACATTTCTGTTACCCGGGAATTTGCTTTATTTGCAAGATGAGCCTCCAATGCCTGATTAAAGGAAACTGAGGGCTAACCTGGGTGATCCAAGAATTCCTGGACAGTTAAATAGTGTAATTCCTTTAGAAAGGGACTCTGGACCGCCTCCTCGGAGCAGCCTTAGAAGGGCAGTGAGGCTAGGGTGAGTAAGCAGGCTCCCCACGTGGGGGTGAGTCAGGGAGACTGATTCCTTAGCAGCTGGAGCACTGTGTAAGACTAGGTCACCTTTTGCGAACCGCAATAGCTATGTGTTATGCTGGTTATACTCCCGTTGAGACCAATGGCAGATGCTGGCTGTTAAAATATTTAGTGTCTGATAATGTATGATTAATGGGTAAGGAGTAGAGTAGCACTTCTTTTAATGGCTCACGCTGTAGGAAAGAGATTTAATAGAATTGAAGATGAACTTAGAATGACATAGAAGATAAATCTCAGGAACATACATCTTTGGGACAGATAGCTCATTTTGTTAGAATATAGTGCTACGATTGTTATTAGCTAACATTTATTAAGCACTCACTAAGTGGCAGGAGCTGCTTCAAGTGCTTTACATATGTTAACTTAATGCTTCTTGTGCTGTCTGTGATAATACACCAGTATTTGTTTTTTAAATTCCCAATGTGTCACGGACAAATGCTTTTGTGGAATTCAATAAAAATAAATTACTACAAAAGTGAAAAAAATTTAAAACGTGCAAAATTGAAGCTCAATTTTTTTTTTTTTTTTTTTTTTTTGAGACGGAGTTTCGCTCTTGTTACCCAGGTTGGAGTGCAATGGCGAGATCTCAGCTCACAGCAACCTCCACCTCCTGGGTTCAGGCAATTCTCCTGCCTCAGCCTCCTGAGTAGCTGGGATTACGGGCACGTGCCACCAAGCCCAGCTAATGTTTTGTATTTTTTTTTTAGTAGAGATGGGGTTTCACCATGTTGACCAGGATGGTCTTGATTTCTTGATCTTGTGATCCACCCGCCTCGGCCTCCCAAAATTTTTTGCTTTTTTAACTATTAGATGTAAGAGACATCAAATTGGCAAAATGCTATAAAAGTTTTAAATGCTTACTCTTAGTTGCTCTGCTTAACTCCCTGTGGGCTAGAAACAAACCCTCACCAACTGGCGCAAGTCTACGGACTCCGTGTTGAAAAGCACTGTATTAACTCATTTAACTCTCCTAAAAGTTCATGACGTAGTCAGTATCTCCATTCTACAGAGGAGGAAACTGAGGCACAAAACAGTTATCTTGCTACTCAGGCCAAATTAGATCCTTTAGCAGTCAATTAGTTTTGCAAAGAGAAAAATATCTATTCCATGGTCATAGAAGAGTACCCCAACTAGTCACTGAAAAATTAAGAGTAGCACAAGAAAAGCAAGCCTTAATGAGAAAGTGTGAATGAAGTTTTATTATCCAGGCTGCTGTGGAAAAACCAGGAAAGGCATAGGCCATACTGGTGACATTTTGGAAGTGTCATTGTTGCTATATTGAGAATAGGGTGAAGTGTTTAAGACTGTGACTTAAGGGCTAGACTTCCTGGGTTAGTTTTCCTGCTTGGCCACCTACTCGCTGTGTGAACTTGTTAGTTCCAACCTAAAAGGATGGTTGGGAGGATTAACTGTGTTGTATACGTAAAGTATTTTTTTTTAATACCTGGCACATAGTATGTGCTTTTTAAGTGTTATTGGATTTGCATATGAAAAACCACCCATTGCAAAAATTTAAGATTCCTTAAATGCTTCCATCTATAGTGGTTTGACTTCTGATTAAACAAGCCTATCCTCCTTGCCTTAAACTAGAGCCCCTGGTGAAACTCAGCAGTGCTGCAGTGGTCACTGCCAGGCCTCAGGTATAGAAGGACATTTGGGGCTGGATAGTTCTTTGTCTTGGGGAAGGGGTGATTACTGTGCGCCTAGTATGATAGCAGCATTCCTGGTCTCTACCCACTAGATGCCAGTATTATCCCCTTCCAGCTGTGACAACCAAAAATGTCTTCAGTCATTGCCAAACATCCTCTGGGAAGCAAAATTACCCCCAGTTGAGAACCACTGATATAGAGAAAAGAGAATATTAATAATAGTCTCATATTTTTATAGCTTTTTAGTGTAAAAAGGTTTCTGCATGTTTCAACTCAGTTGGGAAAAAGAAAAAGAGGAAAAGGATGAAATAGATCAGAAGAAGAAAAGAGAGAAGGGAACAGGGGAGGGAGGAGGAAGAGAAAGAATGCAGAGTGCAAGGAGATGAAGTGGGGCAGACACTCGGTAAATAGCTGGGTGTTTGTGTGATCGCCCATGAGTGCATCTAGACCTGCACGTCCTCCCAGCACCCCCAACTCAACATGTTCAAAACTGAACTCAGCAGATTGTAGACAAGGAAGAGAGCTGAAGTCCATGGAGGTCTAGGATGTCACCTTGGGCAGATTCTTCTGAGTCTAGTTTCCTTGACTGTAAAATGAGGATAACACCAAGTGCCTTAACGGACGGTTGTGAGCTGGCATGGAGCTGACCTGTCACAGTGTGCTCTTGCCCATCCTTCTCCCTCCCCCCTTGTCTCATGCCAGTCAGTTCAGGGCTAGAGTCTGGCCCTCTTCCTCCTTCACAGCACTGCCTTCTGGACAGAGGTCCTGTCCCTCACTGGCACCCAGTGCTTCTGTCCATTTGAAGCCACAATTTCATTGCTCTTGCCGCTGCCCCAATTCATGGCCAGGCCTCAACACTGCACATCTAATGTCCTGTGGGAGCTTCCTAGTTAGACTTCCTGGCTCTAAGCTCTCCCCACGCCAATCCAGATGAAACAGCACTGGGATCAAGTCACTCTAATTTAAAAAACGAACTGTTCACTGGCTCCCCGACATAAAACCTAAACTTCTTCACTTACCATTAAATGCCATCCTCTCTCCCTACTTACCACTGTCTATCTTCATAACCTTAATTCATAACCTTCATAACCATTCTATCTTCATAACCTTAATTCCCCATTGTGCCACCCATCTCTCTCTTTTTTTTAGATAGAATTTCCCTCTTTTTGCCCAGGCTGGAGTGCAATGGCCTGATCTCGGCTCACTGCAACCTCTGCTTCTTGGGTTCAAGTTATTCTCCTGCCTCAGCCTCCCAAGTAGCTGAGATTACAGGCATGCACCACCACACCCAGCTAATTTTGTATTTTTGGTAGAAACGAGGTTTCATCATGTTGGCCAGGCTGGTCTCAAACTCCTGACCTCAGGTGATTTGCCCAACTCTGCCTCCCAAAGTGCTGGGATTACAGACGTGAGCCTCTGCACCCAGCCTGTGTTTCCCATCTCTTACCAAACTGAAAAGGCAGTTATACACACCCTACGTTTTCCTACGGGGCCCCTTCCTGGTGCTATTCATCTTCCCGGGATTCCCTTCCTAAATCTACACAGTCTATCCCCATCCCTCAAGGGCTATTCACTTGTTAACTTCCTTCATGAAGCCTAACCTCCTCTTCTTGGACATGTGCAGTTGTCCCTTGTTATCATCAGAGGATTGGTCCCAGGACCCTGCAGATACCAAAATCCATGGACACTCAAATCCTTTACAAAATACTACAAAATAATGTAGTATTTGCATATAATCTATGTGTATCTTCCCATATACTTTAAAGTAACTCTAGATTACTTAAAATACCTAATACAATGTAAATGCTATGGAAATAGTTGTTATATATATATTTTAAAATATATAGTATAAAATACATATACTATATATTTTAAATTTGTCTCATTTTTTATTGGTTTCTTTCTCAAATAATTTTGATCATTGGTTGATCGAATTCACATATGCAGAACCCAAGGATGTGGAGGGCTGAGTATACTCAGTCTCTGTCATCTCTGAACTCTCATAGCATTTTATCTGTGTCTATTAAATGGCATTTATGTCTTTCTATCCTGTGTCATAGATATCTATATGTGTTTATCTCTTACCTCCCATTCAACTGGGGGCTCCTTGAAGACCCAATATGTACAGATTGATTTTCATATCTTCTGTGGGGCCTAGCACAATAAATATTTACCTAGTATGTATAAGCCATATAAATAACATTAGCTGTCATACGTTTTCTATGTACTAATTTCTATCTGCTTAACTAAACTTTTTTTTTTTTTTTTTTTTTTTTTTTTTAGTAGAGACGGGGTTTCACCATGTTGACCAGGATGGTCTTGATCTCTTGACCTTGTGATCCACCCGCCTCGGCCTCCCAAAGTGCTGGGATTACAGGCTTGAGCCACCGCGCCCGGCTAACTAAACTTTATAACGGTTAATAAAAGAAACAGGGTGGGGCTGTGGTGCTGCGTAGAAATGTCAGAGAAAAATTCCTTGGACAGCGGCGTCGAGTCAGCTGAGAGAACTCTTTGCACAGTTTGGCCATATAAAAAGGTGTATCGTACCTTTTGACAAGGAGACTGGTTTTCACAGAGGTATGGGTTGGGTTCAGTTTTCTTCAGAAGAACAACTTCAGAATGCACTACAACAGGAAAATCATATTCTAGATGGAGTAAAGCTCCAGGTTCAAGCTCAAAGGCCACAAATTTTGCAAATACCTGATGAAGAGAAAGATTTTTGAGACTGCCAGCCTATTAAATAAAGTTAATGTAACCGGAAAACAAACAAACAAACAGAGAAACAAAAAAACAGGGAGGAGGTGGAGATAGCCAAAGGTTGGTTAAGGGATATAAAAGTGATGGAGGAGCCGGGCGCGGTGGCTCAAGCCTGTAATCCCAGCACTTTGGGAGGCCTGAGACGGGTGGATCACAAGGTCAAGAGATCGAGACCATCCTGGTCAACATGGTGAAACCCCGTCTCTACTAAAAATACAAAAAAATTAGCTGGGCATGGTGGCGTGTGCCTGTAATCCCAGCTACTCAGGAGGCATGAGGCAGGAGAATTGCCTGAACCCAGGAGGCAGAGGTTGTGGTGAGCCGAGATCGCGCCTTGCACTCCAGCATGGGTAACAAGAGCGAAACTCCGTCTCAAAAAAAAAAAAGTGATGGAGGGCAGAGATGCAGTAAACAAAGGAATGGGCCCACCCAGAGAGGCAGAACAAGCCCTACTGCTCTATAATACTGTAGGGCGACTAGAATTAACAACAGTTTACTGTATATTTTCAAATTTAAGGGTGGGTTTTGATTCCCAACACAAAGAAATGATACATGCTCAAGGTGATGGGTATGCTCATTACCCTGATTTGATCATTTACATTGTTCACATGTACCAAAATAGCACACTGTACCCATATATATGTATAATTATCATGTCAATTAAAAATTATAATAAGGGCCGGGTGCGGTGGCTCAAGCCTGTAATCCCAGCACTTTGGGAGGCTGAGATGGGTGGATCACGAGGTCAAGAGATCGAGACCATCCTGGTCAACATGGTGAAACCCCGTCTCTACTAAAAATCCAAAAAAATTAGCTGGGCATGGTGGCGTGTGCCTGTAATCCCAGCTACTCAGGAGGCTGAGGCAGGAGAATTGCCTGAACCCAGGAGGCGGAGGTTGCGGTGAGCCGAGATCGCGCCATTGCACTCCAGCCTGGGTAACAAGAGTGAAACTCCGTCTCAAAAAAAAAAATTATAATAAGAGAAAGAAAACTATCATATTATAGTACTATGGAGACAGTCCCTACTGACCTGTGTCATAAGAACAGACTGATGTGTATGTGTATATATGTATGTGCAGGTGTGTGTTGTAGTGTAATACAGCAATGCAGTGTTCTGAAACCATATAGAACTGGTTTCTAATCCTAGCTGTAACACTTGATAGCTGTGTGGATCTTGGACCAGTTAGTTCGCATACCTAACTTCATTTCCTCATTTGCAAAATAGAGATAACAATACATACTTTATAATGTTATTATGAGACTCTTTTGTTTACCTCAACAAGAATTTACTGAGTTTTCACTATGTGCCTGGTACCTGATAGAAACAAAATAACGTACATAGTATATTTACCAAAGGACCTGGTATATACTGAATATTTGCAATGTTTAGCATTTAGCATTAGAGCAATTTGAGTAATATGAGAGTGGCTACTCTGTCACACATACATGTACACATAAATAGAGAGAGCTAGAGGTGCCAAGTAGGGGTCATTCTTTTAAAATGTGGACAAAGGGAAACACAGTCTTCTTTAGCCAAAATTTTTTCTTCTCCAGTTAGCTTGAATATGCTTTCCCTACTTCATTCTTAGCATCCATACCCATGGAAAAAAATCCGATGTCAAGAATACCATTTATCTAGTGTCTTATTTTGTGTTATGAACCTTTCAACAGCTCTTTAAGGTAGATTAGCTGGTATCCATTTTATAGGTGAAAAAACAGACTCAAAGAGGCTAGTATTTCCTAGTCTTTCCACACAGCCTGTAAATGGTGGAATTCTCTTCTAGATCCCAAACTGTCTGCTGTTCTGCTGGAGGGGCATCCTAAATACCAGGCCAACTTCCCAGAAGTTTCTATCAATAATTCTCCTGGGTTCAAGTTCTTGGAAATACTGAAACAAAGTTGGTTTCTAATCCTGTCTAAAGAGATAACAACATTTTTACTTGGAAGGAGACGTCATATTACGCTTCTTACATTCCCACTTATTCCTATAGAGGAGGTAACTTCACTAACTGTTCAAATCTCCACTCTCTACTGGTTCCTCCCCAAGTAGAAAAAAAAATGATTATTATTATTTTTGAGACAGAGTTTTTGCTCTGCCTCCCAGGCTGGAGTGCAGTGGCACGATCTCAGCTCACTGCAGCTTCTGTACCCGCGAGTTCAAGCAATTCTCCTGCCTCGTCCTCTCAAGTAGCTGGGATTACAGGCATGCACCACCATGCCTGGCTAATTTTTGTATTTTTAGTAGAGTTGGGGTTTCACTATGATGGCCAGGATGACCTCAAACTCCTGACCTCAGGTGATCCACCTGCCTCAGCCTCCCAAACTGCTGGGGTTACAGGCATGAGCTACCGCACCCCGCCAATTCTTTTCTTTTTAAAGTGAGCAGGGCTATTGGCTTCGAAAACAGGAACCAGGCCTAGCAGGTCGTCTGTTCTAAGCTTCCACATCTATCTTCCTTCTAGGTGAAGAAAGCCCATTGCATCTTCCTTGCCCATGCAATAAAGGGAACTGGGTCTATCTTGCTTGTGACAGTGTGTGTGACAAATCTTATGGCAGTATGCCTTAGTGGATTCACTGCAAACCCAGAGTCTCTGCACTCTCCACACTCCCCACCCTGAAGGCTCATGCCTGTCCCAATGCCCAGATTCCAATGCAGAGGTGAGAGGCCCCCAGTTTGGCACCAGTTTCAACTTGAGTTTTCTCTATCCCATGTTGTACCAAATTATTTGGCAAGTGCCCAATAATTTCCCCAGATTGTAGAAATTATTGGACACTTGCCAAACTGCTGATAAAGCTAATATTTCTCTCTCTCTCTCTCTCTCTCTCTCTCTCTCTCTCTCTCTCTCTGGCTAGCAGTGCTTATATGTGTTATCTAACAGTCAGAATCCAGAGAGGAAAAGAAGGAAGATTGTTTTACATCCAGAACTGCTGGCTCTGCTGCTGGGTTAGGAGCTGTCTCCATCGTAGCCTGTTCGATAACAAAGCTAACCTTATTTTCATGGATCAGCTAACTTGCAGGACTTTTCAGTGATTTTTAAAGCCATATACACAAATACTATCTAACAACCATCAAAGATGACCTGCTGCTATAAATTTGTTCATTTTCAAGTTATCAAAGTAGCAGCTTGGAGACACCTTCAGTAATATTTGTTTAGGGTCCTAGAATTCAAAACTAAAAACGATGTAGTCTAATTTTGTCACAAATAGCTCATACATGTTAGCAAGTTAATTCTGACAAAAGTCAATCTAGGCAGGCTTTCTTATATTCCTACTTAACCATCTTAAAAATAAAGTTTAAGCTCCAGCCCCACTCCACTTGTTCTGACTTGGACAAGGCCTATTCCTGGGCCTCCATTTCCTTGTCTAGAACAATGGGTGTTTTGATCCAGACCATCACTGACAACCCTCCTGCTTCCACGTCCTTATAATACATAGAAGTTAGCATTTGAGCCTACATTGCCTTCAGGGCGTATTTTGGTGGCTCTGAGGGGTTTGGGAAGAGGAGTGATCTGGAGGAAAATTTAATGAACATAAAGGGAGAAACTTGCCAGATGCAAAGTGGGAGTTTATTCCAGGCATATTAAATTATCATAAAACACATCCATCTACATTTATTAAGAACAGGAAGCACAACTCTGCTTGCCTGAAGCCTTCATTTCTGAAGCATTAACAAATTATTCATTTCCTTCATAAGTTCTTTAGTCCTTGGGGTATTTAACACCAGGAGTTTGACCATATTATGACTCATCCTCATATCACATGATAAAGATGATACTAAATATTGTAAACATATGACAGTGGATATAACTTATGAATTCTCATTAATTTATTTTGCTTTTAGCATAATGGCTTAATACTTTGTGGTAGACTTCTTTTAACCCAAAACAGGACTGGCGTGTCTCAGATTTACAGTATTTTCTTTTTTTTTTTTTTTTTTTTTTTTTTTGAGGCGGAGTTTTCGCTCTTGTTACCCAGGCTGGAGTGCAATGGTGCGATCTCGGCTCACCGCAACCTCCGCCTCCTGGGTTCAGGCAATTCTCCTGCCTCAGCCTCCTGACTAGCTGGGATTACAGGCATGTGCCACCATGCCCAGCTAATTTTTTGTATTTTTAGTAGAGACGGGGTTTCACCATGTTGACCAGGATGGTCTCGATCTCTCGACCTCGTGATCCACCCGCCTCGGCCTCCCAAAGTGCTGGGATTACAGGCTTGAGCCACTGCGCCCGGCTAGATTTACAGTATTTTCATAAGTAAATACCACTGACCACATTAAGAAACCATTCTTCTTTTATGCAAATGTGTGTCAAAAATTATTTAAATGAGAAAGAATTTTACTTTATCAGCTACTTTAAAAAAAAGAAGATTTTAAAACAGGCCATATCATTATTGAGCTGTATACTCTGTTAGTTTTCCATGGTTGCCTAATATATTATCACAAACTTAAAGCAACATCCATTTCTTAGCTCACAGTTCTGTAGGTCAGAGTGTGGGCTCTGCTGGATTCTCTACATAGAATCAAACAGGGCAAAAATCAAGATGTTTGCCTACTGGCTCTTCCCTGGGGAATTTGGGAAGAATCTGCTTTCAAGGTCTTTCAGGTTATTGACTATTCTATTCCTGTGGTTGTAGGACTGAAGTCTCATTTCCTTGCTAGCTATTGGTGGGGGACTGCTCTTAGGTCCCTAAGGTCACTCACATTCCTTGGCAGATGACCCCTTTCTTCTTTGAGCCAGCAATGGTGCATAGAATACCCTTTGTGCTTTGAATCTCTGACTCCTCTGCTTCTGCTTGCCAAAGAAAACTCTCTGCTCTTAAAAGGTTCATCTACTTGGTCAGGCCCACCTGGATCATCTCTGTAACTCAAGGTCAACTGATTTGGGACTTTAATTACATCTGCAAAATACCTTCTAGTACTAATTAGACTGGTGTTTGAATAACCAGGGACAAGCGTCTTGACGGGCCATTTTTATAATTCCATCAGTCATATACAGTTGTCCCT